GAAAACACAAAATACTGCCACTATTATTGTTCACAACGCCACTTAAACACACATTACCTCAGTTCACAATACCATTTAGTCACTAACTATATAGTTTTACTAGTGTGTATGACTAGTGGTCGTTGGTTCTCGAACGATGGGCGAGGCCATGCGTCATGCAGTCAGCTGCTTGGGATCAAGATTCTGCCCATTTTACTTGCCCAATTGGCATTAGCGTCCAAACAATTGTTACTCAGGCTAAGGATAACACAGGTCCCTAGCCTCACTCCTAAATGTGGTGCATATGTTCAAGACAAATCTGGCACTCATAACGTCTGAAAAGTTGGCATTATCGTGATGAATTCATTTGGGATTACATCGGAATGGGGTGTGTGGGGGTATCTCATGAATTAAAAAAATAAATAGTGTCATAACAAAAATGGGTGACATGGCCTCATGGTGCCCGTTGCCGTGACACCAGATTGTGTGACGAAAAAATATATTTAAGCCAATTAATATATCTGAAATTGATGATGATCTAATGGAATGCTAAATTTAAATGCAAAATAATTAATTCTGTGAGTTGCAGTATTTATTATTGTTACTTAAATACTGGATTCATAGTGCACGTAAATTTTAGATACACATACAATTGATGCATCTATATCCTATTTGATCTTATGTTTAGAAACTTGATGACTTAGATGCTCCTTTGATGAATGTATGATATGCATGTGTCTGTAGGAATTTTAGCATTTCATGGGCTTTTGTTTAGAGCAGGGGTCGGCAACCTTTTGAGCAGTGGTGGTGAAATTATGGATGATGGTGCCTTCTTATGGATGACCTTGCGTGCCAGTTTTTTTTTCAGCACTATACCCAGATGTATTTTTCTGTGCGTGCATAGCATGACTGTAATAATTAAGTAGCATTTAGTATTCTTTGTAACAAAAAATACATGTTTTATAATTTTAGATTTACACTCATCATATTAGTATCTGGACACGCAGCTTCAAACAACACTCAGAGTGAACTGTTGTAAGCCTGCTGCGATGAAGACTGAGGGTATGCTGCATGTATGATAACACCTGGCTTACATTGGCGTGTACATCCAAATCCTGGTAACAATGCCAAGGCTACTTTCTTCATGCAATTGAATTTATCAGACAGTGGTGTCAGGCAACTTAACATGGAGGCTACATGATCATTCGCAGTCGTTTCCAATATTTCTAGATTTTAAAATTTAGCAGACCATAATAATGAGACTCTCTCTCTCCCTCATATTATTTTGCTGTTTAACTTTTTTCTTTGCTCCTCTGAATCACATGTCATGCCATAGACAAGCGCTGTGTGTGCAGAGTCTGGCACTGGTGCCAAAGGTTGCCGACTGATTTAGAGTATCTTGATGAAATATCATCTTTGTGCGTGTTTTTTTTCTTGTTAATGCTCTATGTTGTGGAGAAGTTGTGAATCATCGGCGTATTGGACAAGAAAGTACTTTGTGGACTACAGTCGAAAAATCGTCTATGAATGTTGTGAATAGTATTGTCCCTCATAGAAATACCTGTGGAACACCGATAGATGCAAGTTACTTTGCTAGTATATTTTGATGACTTACTTGATTGGGCTCCAGCGGTTGCAGAACTTCTGGACTAGTATGTATCGATTTTGTACTTCATTGCTTTGTCAAGAAGGATTTCAAGGTTGGTTTGGATAGATCATACAATGTAAGCGAATATTTGGACGTTGTCTATGTTACCATATATTTTGGACCTTTAAGAACGTTGTTTCACTAAACTTACTGTTAGGTCCATGATTGCCTTGTGTTGCGCAACAGTTTTCTCGAGAACTTTAGACTGTGTAGGGAAATGTCAATAGAGCGAGAATCATTAATTTTGTCTGCACCTCGGGATTTGATAGCTTGTAATGCAATGTCATGTTTTCGAAGTGCTGGGAGACTAGAGAAGTGTTTCACCGTTATACAACATATCGAGACATCTCTCTGTAATAAACATTCCAATTTCTTCGTAATGTTGAAGGACATACTGTGTGCTAATATAGTCTATTGTCAGCCTGTACGATCTGACCTCCGTTGTTGCTTACAGTGCGTTGTCTAGCACTCTTGTTGCTACTGTACTTGTTTCTGTTTAAGAACATCTTGACAATTCTTTTGGAAAACGTCAGTGTTTAAGAATAGTTACTGTAAAATGTGTATCGTAATTCTATATAATTTTTTTTTTGTGTGTGTGTTTTTAAGAAGTAATGCAGTGTCCTTTATATCTTAATTTGGGTGACGTGAAACGGAGATAAACTTTCTGGTCGCTCTGACCCTCCGACGCGTTTGTCGTTTTAATCTTTAGCTTCTTGCTTTGTTCTCTCTCTCTCTCTTTTCCTCCCTCCCTCTCTCTCTCTCTCTCTCTCTCTCTCTCTTTTCCTCCGTCTCTCTCTCTCTCTCTCTCTCTCTCTCTCTCTCTCTCTCTCTCTCTCTCTCTCTTTTTTTAAATCTCTTGTCTTTCTCTCTTTC